CTAGGCGCCGATCCCTGTGAGTGGCTAGTGATCAATCGAGACGTGGTCAAATGGATGTCACCCGGGTGTATATAACATTAACAACAGTGCTTTTAACATTCAAAATAAATAATTAATCATTGATCAATTGAATTGTTAGTAATTAATATCAATTTCACATGTAATTTATCAATATTTTTTCATATATTACTTAAATTATTTACATATACTTACTCTGACATTGCACAGGCTTTATTTATCTCTTCTATTATTTCTCACTTTATCACTTTACTGTAAGTTTATAACCTTATCATCGATAATTTATTTTCACATTCCTAAACTCATCAGAGAAGAATGTTAGAAAAGAGATTGGTTGGATATTACAACGAAAAAATTATATAAAACCGAGTATACTTGTTATGATAACGACATCGAAATCACATTTTGTATTGATATTGTTTTGTTAGCTTGTGTTACAGAATAGCTTTGTCGTTATAGTATCGTCAGCGCAACCGACGATTGTCGCTACATAACGATAACGACATTGTCGTTACGAAGCTAGAGAATAGGCATACTAGGCATACTCCATTTGACGCTACGAATGCTTCAAAACATTTTTTGATTGGTCAATTCATAGAATTCTTTGTTTTGATTTAATCAAACGCTTCGAAGCTTTTGTAGGGCTAAGGGCCTCTTTCACTAATCTTTGGTTAAGCTAACCGACCATCATGATTGCTAATAACTGAGAAATAAATTATTTATTTAGATAAGTTACTTAGATAAGTATAAAATTTTTGTTTAAGTAAATAATTGTTTAATAATTTTTATTTATATTAATTATCGGATATTACAATTTCAGCTACTTAACAAAATACCTATAACATGAAAATATTAAATATTAGGTTAAAAAACACACTACTTTCTGAGCATTGAATTACAATTGGCACTCCTGCGGGTTAATCATCGGTTAACTTAACCAACAAAGATTGGTGAAAGAGGCCCTAAATAGCCAGGTGATTTAAGCTTTAAGAAGTAAGAAATTGACCAATTATAATCGAATGAAAAGAATACTCGACTATGATTAGTCAATTTCTTACGGTTTAAAGATTAAATACTTATTGTGGACCGACACTAATGTGACATAAGGATCCCATATATATAGATCCCATATATATAGAATGGACAAGAAAATAGCGGAACGGAATAGTAACGGAAAGGAAACATGGTGGGAGGCTAACCAATCAGAATGCTTCCGTTCTGTTTTTTCATGGCCGGGTTCCCGGGCAAACATTTAACGGAACGGATTTATTATGGAATATGTGAATTTAACCTGTTATCCGATACATTGTTGGACGGCCCGATATAAAGCCACTTTAACTGTTCTCTTCACTCGAGAAGACATTAAAAAAAACAATTTTCGCATGATATGGTATATAATATTATTATATATATGATATTATAATATAATATTAAATATTATGATATTAAAATATTTTATCTAAACTAAGACTCGGTTGCGCCAACATGATTTTGGCTTTAATCAAGATATAAAACTTTAATTATTGTATCAAAGCACTTAAAGTACTTTAATTTGTTTATCTT